ATCAGCCGGGCATGGTAGCACTCGCCTGTAATTCCGGCTACTCCGAAGGCGGAGGTGGAAGGATCGCCGGAGCCCATCAGGTCGAGGCTGCGGTGGCCGGGAGCGGTCACTGCACTCTAGTCTGGGTGACAGAGTGAGACTCCAACTCAAAAAAAAAAAAAAAAAAAAGGAAACAACTTATACGCCAATCATTGGAGATCATCCACTCACTGCAATAAACTAATAATTAAATAAATACACACGCCTGTAGTTCCAGTTACTTGGAAGGCTGAGGTGGAAGGACTGCCTGAGCCCAGCAGGACAAGGCTGTGGTAGCTGTGAGCGTGCCACCACACTCCAGCCTGGGTGACAGAATGAGACTCCAACTCAAAAAAAAAAAAAAAAAAAAATCAGGGCACATCCAACAATGAAATACTATGCAGCTATAAATCAGGTATGAGACTCTTAACCTATTTATAAAACGACCCCCAAAGCATATCACTAGAAGCAAATGCAGAGTAACATACAGTCTGCTACCTTCTGTGTAAAAAGGAGGATAGGCCAGGTTCGGTGGCTCAGTCTGTCATCCCAGCACTTTGGGAGGCCGAGGCAAGTGGACTGCCTGAGTTCGCAGGTTCGAGACTAGCCTGGGCAACTTGGCAAGATCACATCTCTACAATAAATCAAAAATTAGCCAGGTGTGGTAGCATGCACCTATAGTTCCGGCTACTTGGAAGACTGAGGCGGAAGGATCGCTGGAGCCCAGCAAGTCGATGCTGTGGTGGCTGTGAGTATACCACTGCACTCCAGCCTGGGAGACGGAGTGAGACTCCGACTCAAAAAAAAGGAGGATAAAGAGAATACTGATTCACATTCACTTTAATATGCATAAAAACTCTCTTAAAAATATTTTTTTAATTGCAATACTGGGTACCTTCAGGGAGAGAAACTGGGAGGCTAGGGACAGGGGTCAGAGAAGAATTTTTCACTGTGTACCCTCTCTTAATTCTGAATGTTAAGCCGTATGCATTTATTATCTATTTGAAAATTCAACTTATATCTCAGCTTTAATCCAAATCACCTCGAGAAAACCCAAGCACTACTTTATGTATTTCTTTTCTTTTTTTTTTTTTTTTTTGAGTTGGAGTCTCACTCTGTCGCCCAGGCTGGAGTGCAGTGGCACACTCATGGCCACTGCAGCCTTGACCCTCCTGGTGACCCTTCCACCTCAGCCTTCCAAGTAGCCAGAACTACAGGTGCACACTATCATGCCCGGCTAATTTTTTGATTTACTGTAGAGATGAGGTCTTGCCAAGTTGCCCAGGCTGGCCTTGAACTCCTGAGTTCAGACAATCCTCTTGCCTTGGCCTCCCAAAGTGCTGGGATGACAGGCTTGAGTCATGGCGCCTGGCCGCAATCCTAATGACTGGATTGCACTACTGTTAAATTCCAAAACCGAAATGCTCAATGTAACAGCCCTGCAGACATCTCATAGCAATGCAGACATACTCCTAGAATTAAAAACAAAGGACGAGCTGGAGCAGGACTGCTTGCAGACTCACTCCGCATCCGCCTGCTGTGGCACATGCACTGCCAGGGGCAACCCCGTCCACCCACATCACAGGTAGGGGCTGCGGAGGTGTCACCTCGAGAGTCCCCACTACGGCTACAGGTATGTCTCTCCGTGAAGCACCAAGCAAGGGGCTCTGGGCTGCAGCCATGCTGATCACAGCCTGCAGGGTCACGCAGCCCCGCAGGCCAGATGCCATGGCCAGGGACACCAGCAGGACAGACTTCAGGATAAAGCACAGTGGCTCTTACCTTCTCATCCACCGTGAAGCGGTGGTAGATTCCTGCAGGGAGCGTTATCATGTCTCCTTTCTCCATGAAGATCCGGATCCACTTGTCCTCTTTATCCCTAACATCAAAGTACCCACTGCCATCCAGAATGTAGCGGATCTCATCGTCCAAGTGCAAGTGCTCCTCATAAAACATCTTAATCTAGCACAGAAGGGAGATTTCTGAAAGTTGCTGGACCAGTCACACACACTAGCACGGACCCACCGAAGCCTGAGCCTTCAGGAGACCAGAACTGCAGTAAATGGGTTTTCTCCCCGTAAAAATGAAAACTATACTCTATAAGAATTATTATAATACACCTAAGGGGCAGAGGTAGGATATTTTATGAAACCATCATCAACCAACAGGAAGAAGAAACACTTCCATAGCAGCACGTGCCTGGCAATATCCCAAACATTTGACGGCTATTTACTCGCTGAATGCTCACCACCCATGATGAAGGGACTCTGCCATCCCCATCTGACAGATGCAGGAATGGTGGCACAGAGAGACTAAGTCACTGGCCCAACCTCACACAGCAAGACAAGAGACACCCTGGCCCCGGCTTATGCCCACCCCAGTTCCGTGCACTCAGCAGTCACAGGGAGAAGCCACATGTATGTTAGGGAAAGACAGTCGCACACAATTCCTATTTGTTTGAGTCTACTTTTGTGTCTTCCTGAAGGTCTTTGCCCCTCAACATTTTATAATTAAAATATTCAAATGTGTAAAAATGTGAAAGACTTTACAGTAAATATCCATGCAGCCTTCACCCAGAATGCTCCCCATTCAAATCCTACTCTACTTGCATTGTTAACACTCCCCATTCCCCCAATCAGGAGCGTTTTAAAGTTTCCTTATACAGAGTTTATACATAACTGGAAAACCTATAATGGTATGGGAAAAAAATCCCCACTTATGATGAGATTTAGTAAAGCACATGAACACCTCATTGAGTTAGCGTTTTTTATTTTTTGAGTCGGAGTCTCACTTCGACGCCCAGGCTAGAGCACACTGGCACGCTCATGGCCATGCCAGCATCGACATGCTGGGCTCCACCGATCCTTCCACTTCACCTTCCAAGTAGCTGGAATTACAGGCACGTGCTACCATGCCCGGCTAATTTTTTGATTTATTGTAGAGATGAGGTCTCACCAAGTTGCCCAGGCAGGTCTCGAACCTGCAGGCTCAGGCAATCCACTCACCTCAGCCTCCCAAGGTGCGGTGTTACAGGCTGAGCCACCAAGTCCGGCTGAGGGAACTCTTTTAAAAAGGAGAAATAATATACATATATATGTACACATATGGTCCCATCATTATATATGTATAAACATGCTCTTTTCATAAAAAACACTATGATAACCAGAAACATGAAATTGGTTATCAAGAGGAGGTAGGTGGAAACAGTGTGGAAAAGAGGGGAGAAGGTGAGGTAGCTTTCTGTTTAGTTTTGATTTCAAATTTTATTGTTTTACAAATCAAATTAAATTAAAACAAGATTGGGAGGAAAAACCTTGAATTTGAAATTAAACAATATATTCATAAGCACACAAAGGGAAAAGAAATTAATCGAAGTAAATTTTGAACATGGTACTTTAATCTACCCTCCAGTCTAAGAACGAACTGCAAATAAAGCTTAGGCTCTGTGTAACAAACCCATTGTCTGCAATGGTGTGGGTGCAGCCATGCTTAAACTATTGTGTGTGTGCCAGGCACAGTGGCTCATGCTTGTAATCCCACCCTTTGGGAGGCTGCGGCGAAAGGACTGCCTGAGCCCACGGGTTTGAGACCAGCCTGAGCAACTTGGTGAGACTTTGTCTCTACAATAAATCAAAAAACTAGCTGGACGTTATGGTTCACACCTGTAGTTCCAGCTACTTAAAAGGCTGAGGTGAGGCCGGGCGCAGTGGCTCATACCTATAATCAATCTCAGCACTTTGGAAGTCCGAGGTGAGAGGATTGCCAGCCTGGGCATCTTGGTGAGACCTCATCTCTACAGTAAATAAAAATAAAAATAAAAATAAAAATTAGCTGGATGTGGTGGCATATGCCTGTAGTTCCATCTACTTGGAAGGCTGAGGGGAAGGATCGCCTGAGCCCAGCAGGTTGAGACTGCAGTGGCTATGAGCGTGCCACTGCACTCCAGCCTGGGTGACTGAATGACACTCTAAAAAAAAAAAAAGAAAGAGGTGATGGGATCTCCTGAGCCCAGCAGGTCGAGGCTGGGTGGCCACTGTACTCCAGTCTGAATGACAGAGTGAGACTCTGACTCAAAAATAAATAAATAAACTATTGTATGTGTATTATAGGACTGAGAAAACGAGTCAAAATATTGATATGACTGGGAACTGGACTTTTCAGAGTGGGAGAAAAGAGATACAAATACAGAATGAGGGAAAGAAAAGAAAAATCCTGTGGAGCTATGACTGGAATTAGAGTGTCGGTCTGAACTAATGATCTGATACATGCACATACTCGCACACACACATGTACATACACACCTTACTCAAGGTTCACTGACAGGACCTGGACACAATTACCTCATAGCAGCATTCCTGTCTGAGTTTCTAAATACCAGTTATCAGTCCCTCTTCTGACCGAGGACGGGTCAAGGAAAACAGGAGCTGAGCCTGGACACATCATGGATGCAGAAAGTAAAGGGGTGGGGATGTGTCAAAGGACAGGACCAGACAAAGATGCTCCCGCTTGCCAGGTCTGGAACAATGTGAACATTAAAATGAACTGCAGTAAGAATGGATCGTAGGCTGGGTGCAGTGCCTCACACCTACAATACCAGCACTTTGAGAAATTGAGGTGAGAGGATTACCTGAGCCCTCGGGTTCAAGACCAGCCTGGGCACCGTGGCGAGACCACATCTCTACAATAATCAAACAACTAGCCGGGCATGGTGGTGCATGTCAATAGTCCCAGCTACTTGGAAAGGCTGAGGCGGAAGGGTCTCTTGAGCCCAGCAGGTTGAGGCTGTGGTGGCTATGAGTATGCCACTGCACTCCAGCCTGGGCAACTGAGTGACACTCTGACTCAAAAAAGAATGGATCATAGACCAATAAGTAAAACAAGAAACCCACAAGGCTGTATGGATGATAAATGGATAGGAAAGAAATTCCTGACAGGAGGAAACCAATTCCACGTCGATCACCATTTTTACAACCATGATAGTAATAATCGATTTAGACAGGAATCATCAAGACTTACTAAAAATATCGAGTGAAAGTTTGATGCAAAACAGGATAGTCAGTCTAAAAGCAAGTCTCCACACATTTCATAACTAAAGTTACAAAGGAAAAAACTGGGAACTTCACAGAGCTTCACAGTATGCATGGTTGTGCACACAACACCACTGTGTGGGACTCCTGCCAAAGACACAGGCTAATCTAATCAGAAGGAAACTGACAACAAACTAAAGACCATCAGAAAATAAGGCTGTTATAGAAAGCAAGAGATAAGCCTATATCAAGAGGAGGGTTTGCCATGCCTGGTGGCTCACGCATGTAATCCCAGTACATTGGGAGGCTAAGGTAGAAGGAATTCAAGACCAGCCTGGACAACAAAGTGAGACACCCTTCCCCCCATATCTACAAAAAAATCATAGAAAAATTAGCTGGGTGTGGTGGTATGTGCCTGTAGTCCAGCTATTTAGGAGACTGAGGCAGGAGGATCACATTAGCCCAAAGGTTCAAGGTTGTGGTAAACTGGGATCATTCCACCGAACCTCACCCTGGGGGACAGAGTGAAGCCTTGTCACCAAAAAAAAAAAAAAAAAAAAAAGCGAGTTCTACACCAGGGGAAAAGCTCTTCTGGAAGATAACAATGAACATAATATAACTTACTAACATTAAACATCAGACAGGCCAGGATCGGTGGCTCAGCCTGTAATCCCGGGCTTTGGAAGGCCGAAGTGAGTGGATTGCCTGAGCCCACGGGTTCGAGACCTGCCTGGGCAACTTGGCGAGACCTCATCTCTACAATAAATCAAAAAATTAGCCAGGCGTTGGTAGCACACGCCTGTAATTCCGGCTACTTGGAAGACTGAGGTAGAAGGATCACCGGAGCCCAGCAGGTCGAGGCTGCAGTGACCAGGAGTGGCCACTGCACTCCAGTCTGGGCGACAGAGTGAGACTCCAACTCAAAAGAAAAAAAACATCAGACAAGCCTCTTGAGGCGGGGTAATCTAAAATTCCAAGTTAGAGTCAAACCATTCAAAGCCGAGAGAATCTAATGAATCACTGGAGTACTCAGTGAGAACTGAAGACAATATCTGTGCTCCCAACAGCAAAAATAATTCAATATAGAGCAAAGGAACTAAAATCACACACTATATCTATTTTTTAACAATTTCCATGTTCTTAAGCTCTTTTGTTCTTAGTTTGATTCTGTATTGTTGAATCCTCTGCTTGTGTTTTCTAAGGAGCTTATAGAAGTTGCTACTCCATCCTAACAAATAAAAGCTGAACAAACTGAAAAATCTATAACTCTTTGTAATTCTAAAAGAGAAGTGAGGTCACAGAACAAACCACCACCCCCAAGACTGAAGAGACAGACAAATAATTACAATTAATCAGAGCAGAAATCTCCATGGGAACCAGTGCCAGGGTAGGGAAACCTGAACTGTAATTGATGAACTATTGGAAGCTCAGTGTAGACAAGTCTGAGAGTTAAAAACTCCAGACCCTGTCTTCAGGGGTCCCACAATTTTGTGCACTTGATCTGCAAAAGCTCTACCAGAGTCTCATAGTGAATAACAGAGAAAAATTATCTTATGCTTCTGGCAGGGGGAAAAGAAACAGACCATTTTGAAATATATCAGAGTACTGGGTCCCTAAGAAGATCTGAACTGAGGAGAAATTAGTTAGCCAGATCCCAACCTGCTAGATTTTTGTCAGAGCCTAACTGACCAAGATAAAGCAAAATACCTGACTCCAGTCCCCTCCAGAATCCCAAGGGGATGTTGTGATTGAATACCCTGTAGTCCTCATGTCCCACGTGGGGGAATGTGTGGCAAAGGGAGTCTGAGAAGCATTGGTGAAGTCCACAGTCCAGAGGCATAAGCTCACTAAAGACTGAGACTCCCCTAGTTAAAGAGATAAGAAAAAAGTGGCTCATGCCTATAATCCCAGCACTTTGGGAAGCTGAGGTGAGAGGACTGCCTGAGCCCACAGGTTCCAGACCAACCTGGTCACCTTGGTGAGACCCAGCCTGGTCAACTTGGCAAGACCTCATCTCTACAATAAATTTTAAAAAAGTAGCCAGGCATGGTGGTATGTGCCTGTGGTTCCAGCTACTTGGAAGGTTGAGGCAGAAGGATCACCTGAGCCCAGCAGGTCAAGGGTGTGGTGGCTGTGAGCGTGCACTGCACTCCAGCCTGGGTGACAGAGTAAGACCCCAATGCAAAAAAAAAGAAAGGAAAGGAAAAGACATACTGATTGGAAAGAAACAAAACTGTCTTTGTTCACAGATGACATTACTGTCCATGTAAAAAAATTTTTAAAAAGTCAATTTAAACAGATCCTGGGGGCCAGGAGTGGTGACTCATGCCTATAATCCCAGCACATCGTCTGAGCCCACGGGTTCAAGACCAACCTGGGCAACTTGGTGAGACCTGTCTCTACAATAAATCAAAAAATTAGCCAGGTATGGTGGTGTGTGGCTGTAGTTCCAGCTACTTGAAAGGCTGAGGCAGAAGGATCACCTGAGCCTGGCAGCTCGAGGCTGTGGCCGTGAGCGTGCCACTGTACTCCAGCTTGGGCGACAGAGTGAGACTCCAACTCAAAAAAAAAAAAAAAAGTAAAGTCTAATAAAAACTTTTTAAAATTAAAGGCATTCATACTCACAAAAGTTGAAATAGGCCAGGCTTGGAAGCTCAGTCTGTAATCCCACCACTTTGGGAGACCGAGGCAAGTGGATTGCCTAAGCCCATGGGTTCAAGACCAGCCCAGCAACTTGGCAAGACCTCATATCTACAACAACAACAAAAAAATTAGACGGGCATGGTAGCACATGCCTGTAGTTCCGGCTACTTGAAAGGCTGAGACAGAAGGATCACCGAAGCCCAGCAGGTCGACGCTGGGGTAGCCATGAGCGTGCCATCACATTCCAGCCTGAGTGAGAGAGTGAGACTCCAACTCAATTAAAAAAAAAAAAGTTTTAATTCCTCAATAAATTTATATTTGCACGATCAGAAAAATATATATATATAAATCTTAAGTCCAGGCACGGTGGCTCATGGCTATAATCCCAGCATTTTGGCAGGCCAAGAGGGAGGATGCTTGAGACCAGGAATTTGAGACTAGCCTAGGCAACATAGTAAGACCTTGTCTCTACCAAAAAAAAAAATTAGCCAGGCACAGTGGCACACACCTGTAGTCCCTGCTACTCAGGAGGCTGACACAGGAGGATCACCTGAGCCCACTAGGTAAAGACTGCCTTGAGCCATGATTATGCCATTGCACTCCAGCCTGGGCAACAGAATGAGACTCCAACTCAAAAAAAAGGTACATTTACTATTTTAACAAAAATATAAAGCAACGTAGTATGTGGTTTATCAAAGTAAATGGTAAAACAACAATAGCACAAGATCAGGAGGGTAGAAATGGAGGCACATGCTTTCTACTACATGGACGGTGTAATAATGCTGAAAGGTAGGCTAAGTCAAGGATGGGACTTCTCGTTTCTGGAATGACCTGTAAAGCACTTAGAAGTCCTCACTCTCATGCTTTTCTTACATGCATCAGGAACTGAAATTAGGAGACAAACTGCTATACTAAAATCTAGAGAGACAGATGAATACAGGTATCACCCCTGAGCTCATTCACTGGGAGCTGTGAACTGGTGGGAACACCTCCCTGGCAATTTTGACAAAATGCTGGAGGCTGAGTGTGGCCTAGCTTGAGAGTGAAAGATCTTGGGAGCCCAGTCTTAGGGGTCCCCCCCCCACTCTTATGGGCTTTCTATCCAGCAACCCCACCCTGCTCTCACAGTAAAGATTCAAGAGAAATCCCCTCATATTTCCTTTCAGGGGGGAAAAGAAGCATTTTTAAATGCTCCCAGAACTCTGCCCATAACAAAGACCGACACTCCATGGGAAACAAGTTTACCGGCCCCAGCTCTGATCTGGGGAAAGGGCAACTGGCCAAATCCAGCTCCCTCTTACCTAAAAGGAGAAAAGAGGAAGCTAAGAAACACTTTCCAAAGGTTGGTCCAAACACTCAAGCCTGTAGAAAGACTGAGCTTTAATCATAAAAATACAGAATGCCTCTTCTCTCCCACATCTTTTTTTTTTTTTTTTTTGAGTTGGAGTTTCACTCTGTCGCCCAGACTGGAGTGCAGTGGCACGCTCCCAGCCACTGCAGCCTTGACCTGCTGGGCTCTAGTGATCCTTCCACCTCAGCCTCCCAAGTAGCTGGAACTACAGGCACGCGCTACCACGCCCAGCTCATTTTGATTTATTGTAGAGATGAGGTCTCACCAAGTTGCCCAGTTGGGTCTCGAACCCTCGGGCTCAGGCAATTCACTCACCTCAGCCTCCCAAAGGCGCGGGATTACAGGCTGAGCCACAGAGCCCGGCTTCTCCCACATCTTACTACCACATTAACAGAGCTCCAGAATAATAAAAGAGAATTAAAGCTGCAGAAAACAAATCTCTTTACAAAAGAGTTTTTGGGGAAAAGCAAATACTTCACGGGGGACAAAAAACAAGACAAAAACAAATCTCAAGGCCAGCACGGTGGCTCATGCCTATAATCCCAGTACCTTGGGAGGCCGAGGTGAGAAGATTGCCTGAGCCCACAGGCTTAAGCTCAGCCCGGGCAACTTGGTGAGACTTCATCTCCACAAGAAATCAAAAAATTAGCTGGGAGTGGTGGCACGTGTCTGTAGTTCCAGCTACTTGGAAGGTTAAGGCGGAAGGATCACCTGAGCCCAGCAGTTCAAGGCTGTGGTGGCGGTGAGCGTGCCCCTGCACTCCAGCCGGGGCTACAGAGAGACTTGGTCTCAAAAAAAAAAAAAAAAAAACACCAAACCATACATCCATACACACAGAAGAAACTAAAGCCTCTGGCACCTGCAGTTATAGCAAACATTAAGCACAGCACAATTCCTGATCAGATAACATAAAACCCCACATTAATGACTTATTTACCTCAGTTCCTATGAACAGATACAGCATGTCAGGCTAGCAACAAAAACAATAAAATATGCTGTAAGGCAAGAAAAAATATAGTCTGAAGAGGCCAAGCAAGCATCAGGACTGACAGGCTGACAGGTCGAGTTGGAGTCACCTTTCACACCCAAAGTGAGCGCCCGATCACATTTCTGACACATCTAGACTCCCGACACCCACTGACATCTGCCTGTGATTTAAGAAAACACCTAAAGTCTAGCTGGTCTCCGGAGCAACAATTAAGGCTGACACTCTCCAAGGACATCAGACCAGGCCAGTCCTTCAGAAAAAGAGAGAGAATATACAGATTACTAATAACAGGAATGAGAGAAGACAGTGCTAGAGACTTTACAGATATTAAAAGGATAATAGGAAATATTCCAAATAACTTTATAACAATAAATGTGACAACTCAGATGAAATGTACAAATGGCTTGAGAGACACAAACTACTAAAGCTCATTCAAGAAGAAATAGAGTCTGAATAGCCCTGTACCTACTAAAGAAACTGAATTCATAGTATGAAACCTTCCCACAAGAAAACTCCAATCCCAGATGCCCTCACTGGTAAATCTCCAATCACAAGGAAAGAGTAATACTATTCTATATTCTACACATATTCTTCCAAAAAAGTGAAGAGGAGGGACTCCTTCTCAGCTCATTCTATGAAGACAGCACTACTCTTACACAAAATCCAAATGAAGACATTAAAAGGAAAAACAAAAATCTTGTGTTTATTAGTAGTAAATTTAATGAGTTTCCCTTTTCAAATAACTGAGGGCTCCTTTACCTTTTCTTCATAATTGGGTAGTTTATCTTTGCATATGGTTATTATGTCCATCCAGGAGTAGTTTCTCTCTCTTCGGATCTTTTCTAATTCTGGATCATTCTCATATATGTCAGCATCCAGCTAAGAAAGTTTAAATGACAAAAAGGAGTTCACATTAGTACAAGGAGATGTAGAAACATTCTCTTTCTGGGTCTCCCATATGATGATACTCCAAATTTATTATTTATTCTTCTGTAAGCCCTAAACTAACCATCCTTCAGTTCCTCTGTTTATTTCTCTTAACAGATTTTCCATTCTCTAAAACACCAGCTACAAATAATGGAGTTCTGCCTTCCTTCTCTGCAACAGTCCACCCTGAGGGAGTCTTTTTCACATTTCAAAGTGATGCTCTCATCACCTCAAGCCTGTCCAACCTGTTCACATCCCTGACTGTGCCCTGTTTCTCTGCCATCATCCTACTAGGCGATCCTCTATGGCATTTCTCTGGGTCAGTTTGTTTCCCTGGGCCCAAACATCTCATGGGCTCATGGCCCCGTTGACATTTCTACTTCTGTCTTCTTCCTCTATTTATTTATTTTTTTTGAAGTTAGAGTCTCACTCTGTCATCTAGGCTGCAGTACAGCAGCATATCTCACAGCCACCAAAGCCTTCACCTGCTGGGCTCAGGCGATCCTTCCGCCTCAGCCTTCCAAGTAGCTGAAATTACAGGCACATGCCACCATGCCTGGCTAATTTTTATTTTTTATTTTATATTTATTGTAGAGATGAGGTCTGGCCAAATTGCCCAGGTTGGTCTGGAACCCACGGACTCAGGGAATCCTTGCTTTGGCCTCCCAAAGTGCTGGGATTATAGGCGTGAGCCACCGTACCCAGCCTATCTACATTCCAAACCAAATAGGATAATTTGCTACTCTTTTTTCTTTTTTTTCCACCCAGACTGGAACAAAATGGCACATTCTTTCTGCATTAGCCTCCCAAGTAGCTGAGACTACAGGCACATGCCACCACTCCAGGCTAATTTTTCTTTTTTGTTGTTGTTGAGACAGAGTCTTACTTTGTTGCCCAGATTGGTCTCAAACTCCTAGCCTCAAACAATCCTTCTGCCTCAGCCTCCCAAAGTGCTGGGATTATAGGTATAAGCCACAGCACCTAGCCAACTTGCTACTCCTAAAAATACTTGGGTTAGATTAGGTGGCTCACTCCTATAATCTCAGCACTTTGGGATGCCGAGGTGGAGGATTTCTTGAGGTTAGGAATTCGAGATTAGCCTGAGAAACATAGAGACCCTGTCTCTACTTAAAAAAAAATTTAAAACAAATTTATTTCTAAAAATTTAATATGTCACATCCTACACCCTTAGACTTTCTATACCTAAAATGCCCATACAACTTTTTCACTTATCACAATCCTATCTATTCTGTAAATTTCCATTTTACTGGTCTTTTTTCATGAAACACTTCCCTAGAGCTCCACACAGAATTAATCTGAACTCCTACTTAAAACTACAGGCAATGAATTTAATATCCTTTGCTTTACGTTCTGCAATAAAATGTATATTTTATTACCACTACTGACCAATAAACTTCAGAATATCTCAAGGTATTAGTCATTAATATATTATTTGTTACAAAGAGGACCCCAGAAATTAGCAAATCCATGGCATAATATGCACAGTGCTATTTGCCATGGCCTGAATGTGTGCCCTCAAAACTAACATGTTGAAACTTAACACCAATGTGACAGCATCTAGAGGTGGGACCTTTAGAAGGTGATAAAGTCATGAAGGAAAAGCCTTCATTTATGGGATTCGTGACCTTATAAAGAGGTGCACGGGAGTAGTTTGCTCCTTCCACCATGTGAGGGCACAGCAAGGAAACAGCCACCTATGTGGAACACTGAATGTGCTGACACCTTGATCCTGGACTTCCCAGATTCTACAACTCTTCCCAGATAAACTAGTCCAGCTGCTTCCCTCATGGTCAGTCGAAGACGAGAGGCAGAAACTAGGAAGGAAGAGAGTTTATTCTGCAACCAGGTTATACGGAGATTGGCGGTATCTTGACCAAAAACCGATCAAGGGCAGTATGACTTACTCAAGGTTTATATTCCACGGCCTCATCCAACCCAAAGGCTAAATTAATAAGGACACGACTCAAGATCTCCTAATCATCCTTTACCCACTCCTGGGACTGAATTAACAAGGCCCATGGGCAGCTGTGGAATGACCCAACATCTCCTAATCATGCTGATGGTTCCTTAAGGTGGAATGGGAAGTTACAACAATCAAAGAAGCTACCTTGGTACATATACAGAGCCAACTTCAAGTCAAACATGAGATATGTAAGAAACCCTCATTCCAGTGCCTTCGCCTATAACACAACTGTAAGAAATAAATTTCTGTTGTTTACAAATTACCCAGTTTAGGGTGTTTTTGCAATTTTGTTATAACAGCAGGTACTTAATTTATTTCTTATTAAAACAATATAACTTCTTGTTGGGAGCCGGCTGTGGAGGCCTGCCTAAGCATTAGGGATCCAGGTGGGCTGCGGACCTTGAGACCACCAGGCTGGTTCAGGAGCTGAAGGCCCATTCCCTCCTCCTTTCCTTGTTGTTTAGCATTACCCACTGGCAGGGATTTTGATGATCTAAGCATGAAGTTCTGAGAATATGACAGGCATGGCTGACTCTAGGGATCCATGGTTCCCGTTTCTCACAGACCACGGTTTCGGCTTTAAACTTAACACAGTTCAAACTCAGATCACATTTGGGAGCCTTATACATGATACAAGCTTCTTTATAAGATTTAAAAATATATTTGTAGAATTAATATATACATTTAGAGAGCTGTTTCCAGCTTTAGATGGTTATCTAGGGTTACCAGAAATGGCCCAGCAAACTTTGGGCTGGGCCACATTCCTAAGGGCCCAGCTTCCATTTTCGGCTGGGCTGCATTCTTTTAAACGGGTTCTTTAGTTACAATTAGTGTAAGTTTTTTCTACTTATAATAGAAACTGAATTTAACTTATTCATAGAAAGTATTGTAGAATAGGTCATGCTACGTGAGGGACTTATGTTAGTTCAAGCGTGATCAAACATGATACCTTAAGGTTTTATAAGAATACAGCTAACTTTAGAAATTTCTTTGTTCCTACTTTCTACTGATTGCAGTTTTGGCTTTAGTACAATTACAGTTTGTATTTGGGTTTTATTTTAGAAGATTTATTGCTGAGGATTAGGAATTAGAAACTTTTATAGAAATTAAGGTAGATACATAGGATTTTAGGATAGCCATTTTGTTAAGAGATCATAATCAACTGTTCCTGGAAATGGCCCAGCTTGATCTTTGGGCTGGGCCACATTCTATAGGAACTGGTTTGAGCTATAATTAAGAGTTGTTTATAGTACAGGTAACATTAGCACAGATAAGAAAGATATTAGGAATTCAGTCAGTTAAATTGCTTTTGAGGAATATAAACCAAGCATGAGGAACAGTGAGATAACTTTGGGATTATCCTTCCTCATTCTTGGGGAAAACACCTGGTGGGCGGGGATGCCCCCCCCCAACCTAGCTTTGTGTTCATGTAAAACTCTTGTGATTTGATTAAGATTGTTCTTCCTCATGCTTAAGGAAACGCCTGGAAGGTGGGGGACGCCCCCCACCTACCAGGCTTTGTGTTCATGTGAAAGTCTTGTGATTTAACATGTGAAAGTTTGGGATAAAAGACTCAACGGTTGGTCCCAGTAAACGGCTTCTGCTCATTTCACTGAACAGTTGTCCACTTTCTTTCTTTCTCTTTATATCTATCCCTCCATCTTTCTTTCAATATCTATTCCTACTACAGAATCGGCTTCTGCACTAGACAGAGTCCAGTCTCTTTCTTTCTCCTTATTTCTCCAGAATATTCGCCGACGCTGCCCCACCTTCCAGGGACCCTCTAAATCTCTTTTGGGGGGCTGGCCCCCCATAACTTCTAATTGTTTGTAAATGTGCATGAGAAAGGGCTCTCTATTACTCTGCTATGTCACTAATAACAGATATGCAAAAATGGTCCATATCTGTTCCCACTGTGAGCAAAAATTATGAAAGGCCATTGTTTTGGACTAAGCGCCTGCAATAGGCCCCAACAGACCAGACCAGCTCAATGCAAATTAATCAAGCTGAAACTTTCTTTTTTGAGTTGGAGTCTCACACTGTCCCCCAGGCTGGAGTGCAGTGGCACACTCACAGCCACCCCAGCGTTAACCTGCTAGGCTCCAGCGATCCTTCCACCTCAGTCTTCCAAGTAGCTGGAACTACAGGTGTGCGCTACCATGCCTGGCTAATTTTTGATTTATTGTAGAGACGAGGTTTCACCAAGGTGCCCAAGCTGATCTCAAACCTGTGGGCTCAGGCAATCCACTCGCCTTGGCCTCCCAAAGTGCTAGGATTACAAGCTGAACTACTGAGCCCGACTCCAGGTGAAACTTAAAGGAAGCAGGTAGATCCTGAAACAGACCAGTTTTTCCTGAAAACAGGAGATAGCAGTCTACAAGTCGGCATAATAAGGAAGCCTCTGCTTTAACACTTACCAAAAGTCACCTGAAACTAACCAATCAGCTTTCTTTCCTATTATTCTGGTTCTTGTTCCCAACTTTCAAAACCCACCATCCTGCCATTGCCTGGTGGCGCATTCATTCTATTTTGTAGAATGGAGACTGTCTCAATACGTGAATCAACAATAAAAGCCAATTAGATCTTTAATCAATTTGTTGTAATTTTGTTTTTTGACACCACTGATCCAAAATGGTTATTAAGAAAGCATATAAAAATACACAGGATAGTAAAACCAGAGTAAACATAATTAAATTGATAGCCTTTTGACTTAATTCAGAGCAGAACTAAAAGGTAGGAGAAACTAGGTCTGATCCCATGGAATAACCCAAAAGATGACTTTTATTTATTTTTATTTTTTTTTGAGTTGGTGTCTCACTCTGCCACCCAGACTAGAGTGCAGAGGCCGCTCCCGGCCACCGCAGCCTCGACCTGCTGGGCTCCGGCGATCCTTCCGCCTCAGCCTTCCAAGTAGCTGGAACTACAGGCACGTGCTACCAACCCCAGCTAATTTTTGATTTATTGTAGAGATGAGGTCTCGCCAAGTTGCCCGAGCGGGTCTAGAACCCGTGGGCTCAGGCAATCCACTCACCTCAGCCTCCCAAGGCTGAGCGGGATTACAGGCTGAGCCACAGAGCCCAGCAAAAAAGATGACTTTTAAAATAAGTGTTGTTTTATTTTTTGGATACATGTAAAAATTAATCTGTAATCTCATTCTCGCTCTTCAACTGTCAAATGCACAATGAAACTCCCAAAGTGCACTAATGTGAACCCTCCGATTACTTGAGCTATGGATACATCAGATTTTGTTATAAATCTGTAAACTAAAAATAAAATGCTAAGGCCCTCAACCAACTGAATGGATCCCCTCTGGACCAAGGGAAACCTGAAAAACTAAACTCTAAGCTATGCTGGAAAAGGTGGTTGACATTATACCCTCTACCTTGCAGAGTTTAGGCACAACTGACTAGCTTTGACATTTAAATAGAGATCATAGCTGGGCTTGGTGGCTCAGCCTGTAATCCCGTGCTTTGGGAGGCTGAGGTGAGTGGATTGCCTGAGCCCGCGGGTTCGAGACCCGCCTGGGCAACTTGGCAAAACCTCATCTCAAATAAATAAAAAAATTAGCCGGGCATGGTAGTGCACGCCCGTAGTTCCAGCTACTCGGAAAGCTGAGACGGAAGGATCGCCGGAGCCCAGCAGGTCGAGGTTGCGGTGGCCGGGAGCGGCTACTGTACTCCAGTATGGGCGACAGAGTGAGACTCCAACTCAAAAAAAAAAAAACTAAAATAAAATAAAATAGAGATCGTAAGAATGACAAAACAGACTCTGTGGCAATAAGATACTAAATTCTAACCTGACTCTAGTATAGCAACATGACAGATAGCAGGCTATAAAGGAAAGAAAAATATTTTACACCAAAATATACTTTGACATATCTTGAAATAGCCCAGCAAAGCAGTCTTTCTTGGGGGGAAATACATACTTGCATCTGTAGACAATCTCCATCAACATAGCCAGATCTTTCCCCTTCGACACCTTTCTGGTGCCAGGAGGGATTTACTGAGTCTGACCCCTTTAAATTCTGAGTAAGAGACCTTTCCCATCTATTCTTTCTAAGGGCTACCGCCTAAGAGTCGCCTAAGAGTCTTCATCCTGTAATCCCCGCGCCTTTGGGATCGCTGGAGCCCAGCAGGTTGAGGCTGCGGTGGCCGGGAGCGGCCACTGCACTCCAGTCTGGGCGACAGAGTAAGACTCCAACTCAAAAAAAAACAACCTTGGTGTCCACAACCCCCTTATCTCAACTTGGCATTTTTCACTACTGATTTCAGGACTTTAGATAATAGCTTAACTGTATCAACCATCCATTAAAGGATTCCTGAAATCCACCTATGACCTGTAAGCCTCGCATGCCATTCCCTCCCCCCCGCACCCCAAGATGTGCCACCTTTCCTGGCCAAACCAATGCACATCCCACATGTACTGATTGATGCCCTGGCCTGTAAACTTGTTTCCCTTAAATATATAAAACCAGGCTGCAACTCAACCACCTTTGGCATATGTTCCCAGGACCTCTTGAGACTGTGCCTCAGGCCATGGTCACTCTTACCTGGCTCAAAATAAACCTCTTTAAATATTTTACAGAGTTTGATGTTTCATCAACAGATCAAAATTTATTTTCCTCTCATGACAACAACCATAAACCACTTGATTGTATTCAAGATGGTACCTTACAGAAAGTTAGGTTGACAAAAAGATGCCAAACTCTATATTTTAAGATGCTTTATTCTTGAGCCAAACTTGAGGTCTTAAGCCTGGGTAAACCTACCCTCAGGAGGCCCTCAGAATGTGTGCCCACTGTTTGCAAACGGTGGCTTGGTTATACACATTTTAGGAAGGAAGAAGTTACAAGAAACCATAAGTCAATACATGTGGTATTTCCATTGTTTTGGCCCAGTAAGGAGGGGTATTTCCAAGCTGGGGCTTGCAGGTAACAGGTGGATTCAAAGATTTCTTATCTGGTAATTTGTAGTTCTTATCTTAGGAATTTGGGGAATTAGCAGAGAAGGTGCTTTGTTAAGATAAAGGGATGGAAAACTCCAGGGTTGTTGACATCCAGATAAAGTCCTGTATGTGGTAGACTTTAGGGAGGATAGGTAAGTGTCTTAGGTTTCCTGGAGTCTGAGAATCATATCCCTACAATAAATTAAAAAAATAAACCAGGCGTGGTAGCGCAAGCCTGTAGTTCCAGCTACTTGGAAGGATGAGGCACAAGGATTGCTTGCACCCGGCAGGTCAAGGCTGTGGTGGCGGTGAGTGTGTCACTGCACTCCAGCCTGGGCGACAGAGTGAGGCTCTGACTCAAAAAAAAAAAAAAAAAAAGGATGAGGCTTAGTCCTCAAATCTTATCCCCAGGAAAACACAAATACTATATAAAAATTAACGTGCATAACCTTTTTGGTATTGCTATGCCAAAGGTGAGTTTCTCTACTCAACAAGATGTGCGATGGAGCACTGTCACTCTTCTGTTGTCTAATGCGGACCAGATTGATCTCTTAAAGATGTTATGCAGGAATACTCTCTCCCAAGGAAAAAAAGAGTGACATCAGGGTAAACCAGTGTATTTCACTTTAATCACACCAGCGCAGTACAGCGAAAAGCAAAAACACCTCATAGATTTGACCCAGTCACCTCTCAGCCTACCCAAAAACATCTCATAGATTTGACCCAATTACCTCTCAGCCTACCCCTGAGGCTTCACCGGATCCTCCCCCTACAGTAAGCCTGGGATATCTCAAAACCATTAGAAAGCAAACAGGAGAGCTGGTAGGGGCCAGTGCCATGCAAACACTGGAACATTTGTGCAAGCTTGACCACACACCAAACCCTCCAGAGATCAAGTTACAGAGGGCAGGGCTCACGCTGGCGCCCGGCCTTGAGGTTGAGCCCAGCTCTTCAGTGCGTGCTGATGATGCTCCTCCATCCCCCTCGGAACCGCAAGGCAAGACAATTCCCGCGCGCCTTCCCGGTTCCGGTCGCCCAAGATCCTGGCGCCGGGCCTGGCTCCCGAACTCCGCCTGCCGGGAGCGACTCCCGGACACACGCCCGACAGACCGCAGCAAGACCCTGCGGGATCCCATCTTTTTCCGGGAGGGCCCATCTCCTCCCCTGGGCACCTCTCATGCAGTCTCGCCTCCCCAGCCAGAACAGACACCAGGACCTTGGAGTGAGGGCAACCAGACAGGTGAGGAGCCTCCACCCAGCTCAAAGGCCGAGCCCGCCACCCGCAGAGCCCACACACTCTCCCAGCCACCACCAACTCCTGGGTCAAGCAAGCCCAGCGCTTCTCCTGCGCCGGGCCACCGACCACAGGGACCCGCTGCTGAGCATGCGCAGTGCGTCGCCGGTGCTGCGCCACCGACCGCCTAGGCCCGCTGCTGAGCATGCGCATCACATCGCAGCACCGGGAGCTGGACGCAGAGCGCGTAGCCCCACTGTTGGGCATGCGCAGCACGTTGCGGCAGCGGGAAGGAGCCGCGGACCACTTGGGCCCGCTGCAGAGCACGCGCAGCACATGGTGGCACCAGCAACAGGCGGCAGACCAACTAGCCCTGCTGCTGAGCATGCGCAGCACATCGCGGCGCCGAGAGGGGGCCGCAGTAGCCATGCTGCTGAGCATGCGCGACGTGCCCGGGACGTCAGCGCCTCGGCACCCGACCACTCAGCCCCCCGGCGCGCATGCGCGATACGCCCCGGGGAGCACCAGCCGCTGTCTCTCCCTCGGAGCGGGCGGGGGCCCCGGGGCCCGGAGGTCGCATCCCCCGCTGGTTCCACGAGCCCCGGGGCCCAGCCCCGTCTACCTTCCAGTAGAGCACCCCGAGCTGGCGCAGTCGCTCCAGGTCCACCCGGCGGCCGGGCTCGGGGCGGTGCGGCCGCCGCGGGTCGTCCCGAGAGTCGTCCATGTACCAGGCCTGCACCATGGCCGCGGGCGAGGAGGGCCGCGTGGAAAGGCTGCCGGGGCAGGGGCCGCCCGGAGCGTGTTCTTTTATAGGGAGGCGTAAGCCCGGCTGCACGGAGCCCAGCGATTGGGCGGTGCGTCGGCGAGTGCCTCCCGGGGGCTGGCCCCGCTCCGCAGGGCTGCTTGTGCGCACAGGCCCGAGGCGAGGGATCATCGCCGGGAACCGGAGATCCGCCAGTCCGGCCGAGGGAATTTGGGGGGCCTGTGTGGGCCCCCCCTGACGCTTACCCAACTGAGCCCTACGGGCCAGGGTGGCGGGTGCTTACCCTGCCAGCTGTTTCAGGAGCGGGGCTCAAGGTGAAATAGGCATGGCGAGCACCGCACCAATGCCTTAGGCTACGCGGCGCTGTTGTCTCCTTGGATCTTCAGAACAGTCTTATGGCAAAAGGAACACTTTCTCTCTTACAGTAAAGAAAGCAAATTTGTAAAACAGTGATTATGTTAAGTTCATGCAGCTCATGGGGGGCACAGTTAAGGTTTGAAAGCAGAGCGGGTCACACAGGACCCCAGCTATCAGCGTGAAACATTGCCCTCGCCAGTTCCCAGGTTTTGGCAGCATTTGCAGTTTGCAGTACTGTCGGCTTATTTTATTTTATTTTATTGAGTTGGAGTCTCACTCTGTCGCCCAGACTGGAGTGAAGTGGTCACTCCCAACCACCGCAGCCTAGACCTGCTGGGCTCCGATGATCCTTCCGCCTCAGCCTTCCAAGTAGCTGGAACTACAGGCGCGCGCTACCACGCCTGGCTAATTTTTTATTTATTGTAGAGATGAGGTCTCGCTGCCCAGGCGGGTCTCGAACCCGCGGGCTCAGGCAATCCACTCACCTCAGCCTCCCAAAGGCGCGCAATTACAGGCTGAGCCACCGAGCCCGGCTTATTCTAAAATTTATAGGAGATCCTTTTGTAGCTGGAACGACAGGCGCGTGCTACCATGCCCGGCTTTTATTTTTGAGTTGGAGTCTCACTCTGTCGCCCAGACTGGAGTGCAGTGGCCGCTCC